TTCATTTATCCCTTGCGATTACTACATCAGGGATATTCTGGTTCCCAGTAGCTTATATAGAGTAGAAAAAGCAGAGTTAAAGCAAGATGCCATTAAAGATAAAAAAAAAAAGAGCAACAGACAATATAGAGGAGTGTGTATATAGTACAAAAAGAATAAAAAAAAATGTTTCCTTTAGATATAAAAATATCTGCACAGCAGAGAGCTAAGGAAAGAGTACACAGCAGTGGACTTGCATTATTGCACTTGCACTGCAGAGATCTACTGACCTTATAAAATAAGTAAAAAATGACACAGGCTACACAGTAGTTAGCATGTGTTATTGCACAGTGAGAGAGTGGAATATTGCACATCAGTGACAATAGGTAATATTTTGCAGAAGACCTCCAAGGAGGAGGGGGGTTGGGGGGGGGGTGCTGACCCTTGTCCCTCTTCCTATGACCTCCTCCTTCCCCCAACTGAGGAGTTGTACATCTTGATGAACAAAGGGCACGAATTACTAAATTAGTTGATTATTTCAACAATCCATTAATCACAATTAATTTGATTAATTGTTTTAGCCCTACTCTCAGTGCAACAGCATCAGCTATAGTAAATATTGCAACAAAGCTGACATTTTAAATGTTAAATGAAAAATAAAATTGTCTTTCCTTATATCTCCCAAATCCCCTTCCTATTTTTTTTGTCATCCTCAGTCAGCCCACCTCTCCACCTGTGACTCTTCCTTACATACTGGGACTATTGTGAATCTCTGTGATTCATCAACACAACCATGTCCATGTTCAGCACAGGCATCCTCGTGCTGACATCTCCTCTCCAGACGCTCCCTCTGCGTATAGCTCCAGTGCTGAGCTCTGCTGCTCAGCTCGTAGACCGCACGCTGTATGTCCACCTCCACCCTGGGCTTAACCTGAGCAGTGGGAGCCAACCCCGACCCGTTTTCATTTCACCTGTGGTAGACCTGTCCACAATCATCACTCGCCTTTATAACAACGCAGCAGACATATGCAGCCACCTGGATGTTCGGGTTCTTCTCACTAACATTCGCGCTCAGCCGCCTGCCTGCAGCGAGGCCACAAGTCCAAATTGTCCCTTCCCAACACCACAGCCTCTGTTTCACTCCCCGGAGGTGGTGCTGACAGACTTTACGCCGCAGGACCCACATCAGTCCCATCAGGTTAAGCAGTGTCTGGAGAAGTACACCGGTCACTGTTATGTCTGTAGACCTGGTCTATCATCAGTGCTTCTTCACCCGCAACCAGGGAAGCTGCAGGAAAACGAGGACGTGCAAAGAGAGGAGAAAGGACAGAAGGCTGAACCCATTGAAACCTATAGTGATGTCGTCGTTGGAGGCACGTTTGACCGCCTGCATGGAGCGCACAAAACACTGCTCAGCATCTCCTGTCTACTGGCCAATAGAAGGTTTGTCATTGGCGTGTGCGACCAAGCAATGCTTAAAAGTGAGTGGTCCTTTAATTACCTATTATTTATCACGTTGATCATCGTTAATCGTTGATAAAACAATGCAGTGTGTTGCAGAAATGTATTAATGTACAATACTACAACTTTACAAACACAATGTTTTTCAGAGGAGTTTTATGCAATAGAACTGCAAAAATATAAAGCAGAAGAAATAGAGTGTTGCCCACTTACAGTTTTTGGTCCACTTTTCATTATTACAGCTGAATAATCTTTATGAGGGCTGCAACTAATCATTATTTTGCAAATAAAGCAGGTGAAACTCAAACGTTTCCACTAGAGGAGTTCTGGATGGAGCATATTGACAGATTTATATTTGTTTTCATTCTTTCTTTCTTTTTTTAATCTTAAATGCAAAATATTTCGATTTTTTTTACACTGTTTGTACAATTACAACTCAAAGTGGTTCGCTCTTTCAGCTAAAGGCATGTTTTATAGTCTCTTAACTACAGTTAACAATTAAACTATTACTAAATTAGCTGATGATTATTTCAGTAATTGATTAATCATGATTCATGTGATTCATTGTTTCAGCTCTACTCTCAGTGCATAGGCATGCAGCAGCATCAGCTATAGCAAGTATTGCAACAAAGCTGACATTTTCAAAGTCAACTTAAAAAAATATATTAATATTAATCTGATTAATTGTTTCAGCCCTAATCTCTATAGCAACTAATGAAGTTTGCAGGTTAATTAGGTATGAGACAAAGATGAGGTCGAAGGGGAAGTCATGGAAAAGATTTAATCAGGGTTTGGTTATTCATCAAAATTATGTTTTAAACATCTTAAAGAAAAATGGTGAATAACTATCTGATAGTGTTTTATAGCTACAACTTAGGGCTAGAGATGTGGCTTAAAAATCAAATATTGAAATGTTTTAGTTCATATTCCAATGAATCCTTTTTTTCACTGAAGTTTCATGCTAAAAACTACAAAATGTCATGTATTTATTTCAAAATCTAGCTTTGATTTCGGTCATCCCTTCTGGAAAGTGACGTTAATTTAAAGGGCAGCGAAATTTAAGCTGTGAAAATGCTTCTAAAAAATTCTCACAACAAACTGAAAATATAACACACTAAATAGATTCAGCGAGTGGTATTACATACGTGATAGTTCATCAGTTATGAGGACACATCTAAGTGATGAGATGCTCTCACTCTGAGCTATGGAAGCCCAAACAGAGCTTTGGCAGGAAAAAATCCAGATCTGTCAAAAATGAAACTGGAACAAAGAAAAAATTTGATTCAAAGATTAATCGCCCAGCCCAATATGGTCGCACAAAGAATGAACATTGCTTGTGAATAGGGGGATATGATGGTGGAAGCATCATGCTGTGGGGATGTTTTTCTATTACCAGGACAGGAAAGTCATTCAGCAGCGAATAGAGGCAGATATTATTCTTCCAGCTGGATAGAAACCCTAAACTGACAACAAGAGCTCCTGTTTTATTGTTTACAGGAGGGCTTATTCAGTTGACCTGAGTTTTATTGATTGACTTTATTTGTGAGATCACAGTGAAGAAATTTACTCAGCTCAAATAGTCAAAGAAGAAGAATGTGCCTAAGGAAGAAAAAGGTTAAAAAGAGAAAAAAATAAGAAGGAAAAAAAGGCCTCTTCATCTGCAACAGAGAAAAAAAATCTGCTTCCACAAACTATCAGTTCATAAGCCTGTTTTTATGATCTCTGTACTCTTTGGTTTTTCATTTGTAAAAAGGAAGTTTATACCATTAATAGTGTCCTCCCTCTTCCCTACGCTACTTCTCTTTGTTAAAATAAAATCCTCATTGAAATATGTGGCATTAACATTCCAACATGTTTCAGAATGGACACTTCTGCATTTATCCAAATTAATTTCCTCATATTTCTTTCTCTCTGGTTTTAGAAAAAGTTTTAAAGGAGCTGATTGAACCGTACTCTGTGCGCGTGCAAAGACTCCAGGAGTTTCTACAAGACACCAAACCCTCTCTGCAGGTGGAGATAGTGCCACTTGAAGACCCCTTCGGAGTGTCCATAGTGGACCCCCTGTTGAAATGCATTGTAGTCAGCGAGGAAACCAGAAAGGGGGGCGAGGCTGTCAACAAGAAGCGCATGGAAAAAGTATGTGGGGGGAAAAAATTACTGAAATAAAATAACTTTGCGACTGTGTTCTGATCTTTATTTCTGTCGCCTTCCACTGGAACTAGGGCCTGCCGCTTCTTGTCCTTCATGAGATCCAGCTGCTTAAGGATGCTCACCACAATGAGATTGAGGAGGAGAAGATCAGCTCCTCCAGTCTCCGCTCCCGTCTACTCGGCACCCTCCTTAACCCACCTAAAGTGAGTTCCTTTAGATAAAAAATGTCTGGGCGTATCAATGTTCTATAATCACTTTTATAGACTTGGCTCTTGTCGACTATCTAAACTCCTTTATCATGTCTTTATATTTATAGATGGCACCTAAAGTCAAGGAATGAGTAAAGCATGATAGAAACAAATAAAAATTTACTTTAAATTATAAGAAATCCTCAATGTAGACTCAAAGTTCTCTCTAAGAGCAAAGCCTGTTTTGGTCATGGAGTTTAGAATGGGAATCAGGGCCTCAGCCTGGAGCCAATAAGGATATGGACTATGCTCTTTTGTAAAAAACTTGATTGCATTTCTTAAATTCTCTTAAAGGTACACTATGCAACCAGTGTTGATTTTCCAGCGAGGCTCCCCCCAGAGGGCGAAAGTAAAAGTGCACTGTCGTAAATATGCACAGCTGTTCTCCTGGTTTCTCCGTCAAGCCAGGCGCGGTTGTTTTGAGCTTAGCAGCGAATGACTAATGCTGCGTTCACACTGGACGCAGCTGGCGCGACAGAAGCAGTGAGTTTACATGCAAAGTCAATGGTTGACGCGCGTCAAGGCGCAGCAAAAGGTCTCGCGGCGCGTTTTGAGCAGCAGGCGCAGCGCGTCTGAGCAGCTGAAGCAGCGAGTTGGGCGCGTTTAAGCATCTGACGCAGGGAGAGAGACACAGTGCTGATGATCACTCCTCTTAAACAGTTTATTGACGCCTAAATTAACTTAAAATGCAGAAATCTGCCGGCAGAATATGTTGGCTTTTATTATCCTGCTGCCTGCAGTTTGGATTATTTAGATGAAAAACACCTACCAGCTGCCGGTGAACCGCGAGGAGGCGACCAGGCCATAGGCTGCTGATGAAGGGATCCATACTGTTGGCTCCCCGCTGGTATGTGGGGGTCTGAGCGGCTCCGACAGAAAAAATATTGAAGGCAGGATGATAATCTGAATGAACTGACTGCACTGATTACGTTTTCAGGTGTATTTTCTCACTTAAACACATATTAAAACTACTTTATTCCCACTGATCACAGCAAATATAGCTGCAAGGCAGAGAAAGGATAGTGAAGCTCCGCCCAACGCACGTCAGACACACTTTTGCACCGCGCAGCCAGAGCAGCAAAGCTGCTTCAGCTGGGCATCAGAACTAACTGGTACAAGCAGTAAAAATGAAGCAGCAGACGCAATTTTGCTGTGTCCGATGTGAACGTAGCATAACTGCACAAAGATCGCCACTGTGCTAGCAACGAGCATGCTTTTAACTGGGGGGTGTAGCAGTTCTCGCCGTAAAGCAACACCGACCCTCGCGAGACTTCTGAGCCTGTGGGTGCGGGTCGGTGCTCCTGCAATTGCAAGTGCGGTATTTCCCCCACAGACCACCAGGGCGGCCGAGAATACCTTTGTTCAACCTGAAATGACTCATTTAATCATCCAAAACGTTATGGAACACATTAATTAATTGAAAAATGTTGCATAGTGTGCCTTTAAGATTTTTCCCTTAGTTTAAAATATTAATGTAAAAAAGTAACAATCATTATATTATTTTACACTTTTTACACCTTCAAAATGAGGTTAGATTGTATTTGTAATTATAGTGATGAGTTTATTAGGGCTCTTAGACAGTTTGCTTCTTCACTAATTGGTGTCCCTCCCTTCCTACTTCCATTTTCTACCTAAACGTTTGAACTATGGTCTGGGTTTACATTAATCTGAAATATATTCTTAGTCTTTCTTCTGTGAAATTTAGAAATTAATTGTTGAAAGAGTTCAAAACATAGTTAATCAATACTGTTCAAAGTAAAGAAGTGCATCATAAAAAATCTGCTTGTTTTGGAGTTTTTATCTGTGATGTAGGAAATAAAAATGATGCTTTTTTTTGCAATCTTGGTATAATTACTTCTCTAAGGGGGTCCCTCTGTCAGCTAAAGGCATGTTTCAGAGTCTCTATAGGTAATAAATTCCTTAATTAGTTGATGATTATTTCAATAATCGATTAATCCAATTAATTGTTTCAGCCGTACTGCTAATACTTTAGCAGTCATTTATCTAAGGTTCATTAAAAGGTTTTTTAATTTTTAAAATGGAACTGCGATTTTTTTGAAACCCAACATTGATAACTGAATAAAAAAAATGTAACATTGAACTTAGACTTTGACAAACTTTATCATCATCTTGTAGACACAGTTTGTACAAAACAAAATTAAATGAACATTAAAGTGCAGCAGTGATCAGTATGTAAACAGTGTAGGAGAAAAGGAAACCAGTTTAGAAACACAATGGTGCAAAAGAGCATTAATATGGAAAGGTTCAGTGCAGTGCAAAATTAATTTGCTATAATGTTTAATGTTTCCTTTAGATCCTAAACCAAATGTAGAGAATTTGTTTTAAATTAAAGTAATAACCAGTGTTGTTCCAAAAAGCTGCTGAGTAACGGCCAGGCAGCTTATTAGCAGGGAATTTGTTCAGTTTAACTTTGAGATGGACTCCACACATATTATACGCAGTTGGTTACTAAACTTTATAAATAAGACAACATCTATGTTGAAACATTTACCATTCAAGTGCTGATTAAGCTCCAGAAGTTGAAACCGTGATTTTCATTTTCTCCAGGTGTGAAATGATGCATGAACAAAGTAATACAGCCTTTCTTTTCACCAGTAATATGAGAAAAGTGCCTTCTTTTTATTTTTGAACATTTCCTTAAAAGAAGTTTTTACACTTTGTGATTTATTTCTTTTTCTTTTTATTATAGAAGTTATTTTTTTCCGTTAAACTTGATCAATTTCTGTCTTTAGCTAAGTAGAACGCTGTAATGCTAGCATATGAGGAAGAACAGTTGAGTTTTAAAGCTGCTGGTGAAAATTGGAAGGGATGATCTTTGAAGCTTTGTTTTATCTGATCAGATTAAGCTGGCTGGAGGCACAGCTACTTCTGAATGAAGGTTGGAATGCTGATGTCTATCTAGCTTGAGTGAGAGTAATTTGATCTGTTTGCTGCTGTTATCTGGAGTCTGCGAGAAACAGGAGCCTATTTGACTGGATTTAAAGAGCCTGACCTTTTTTTTTCTATTCACTTCTCTTTCCAGGAGCATCATTGCAACATTCCAGTTACCTCTGCCTATCAGTATTCCTTCTAGCTTGGTCTGTTTTATCCCCTTTGTGTTAGGATTCGTCTCATCTGCCCCCTACTCCGTATGTGATTGGCCTAACAGGAGGCAGCGGCAGTGGAAAGAGCTCCATCGCTCAAAAGCTGGAGGGTCTTGGCGCAGTTCGGATCGACTGTGATAAACTGGGTCATGAAGTGTACCAGCCCGGTACAGAAGCCTATCGCAAAGTGCTAAGAGAATTTGGATCAGGTAGGGAATGATTCACTCCTTCCAAGGCTTGTTAGGAGTTTCAGGATAAAGCTTTTATAACTGTTACCCTTAAAAAAAGGTTTCATTATTGACCTTATAAGCATGGGGTGTAGTGTTTTAAAATAGCATAAATACACCTCAAACTTTTTAAAATCACAACTACAATTTTTTATGTATTTTTAGGGGATTTTGTGTGAAAGAACAGAACAAAGTGGTTCCCAAATGAAATAAAAAGAATACAACACTCTACACAAATGCTTTTTTTTTATCATTAATCTTGCTGCTATTTAACACTAAATAGTTGTATGAACAAAATGTATCCCTCAACCATTCTGATTTAGCTAATATAAAAATCCCAGTAAAATGCATCAATATTTTTGGTTGTAGAATGCAAAACAGTAGAAATCATATGCTGTTATTTTTCCTCTTTGTGTAAATTGATAAATAATTTTTGAATCAATATACTGAAATATGTTAATTAGGGGTATAAATGTGGCTATTTGAGTTTAAACCAGAAAACTGTGTTTAAGCAGGCAAATTTACTTTGCCTTAAAAAAATTTCAAAACCCTTAAATCTGTTTCATTTCTTTTAGAAATTCTCAATGAGGATAAAACCATCAACCGTCGTGCATTAGGAGCAAAAGTGTTTGGGAACAAGGTATTTCGAGGCGCAGCACAATTCCCTGCATTCGTATTTGTTCTGTTGTTGCTGACTAAAGGTGATGTTTGTCTTAGGAGCGGTTAAAATGTCTAACAGACATTGTGTGGCCTGAGATTGCTCTGCTGGTCAAGCAAAGAATAAACCAAGCCAGGGAAGAAGGTGTGCTATTGATTTATTTAGTGTTTCTCACTTAACTTTGAAAATCTTAATATTTCTTCAGTTGTTTTTGCATTTTTGCTTGATAGATTTTTACTTAGAAAGCTTCGGATTTGACCTTTATTACTTCTGCTTGAGTGGAAATGTTTAAGTTAATGGATAATTAAGAAAGTTAATCTAGAAATGATTTAAGGACAACTTTCATTGGATGTACTTTCACATTTCTTTGCTTTGAAAATTGTCCAGTTTCTTATTCTTTTTTTGGTTTTTAGGTAAGGAGGTCTGTGTGGTGGATGCAGCTGTTCTGCTCGAGGCTGGCTGGACAGACATGGTCCACGAGGTTTGGGTCACCGTCATTCCTGAGGATGAGGTAAAGATTGATTTCTCACCCACAGTCCTCAATGACTCTAAAAGAAGAAAGACCCATAAAGACTATAATAACAGGAATGCCCTGCCTCACATTTAATTGTCAAGAAATATTCACACATTAATGAACATTATAGACATCATTTAGTGAGGATATGGAATAACTGTAAGAATTTATTTATTAAACAGTGTAAGAACTAAATGTGCAGCTACAGTTTAGTTAATGTTAAACAGCTTTTGTGTTCATTATCCCACCCGCTGTGTTTAGCGGAACGCTAAAAGCATAACAGTACTTATGCTTGAATGTTGGTCGTGTTTTGAGGTTGAAATCCTGAACGTGACTCCATTTTGGACTTGTTTTCAATCAGCTTAAACTTTTACTTACTTTATGTTACAAACACTCTAAGTATTTTTATTTTGATATGATAAGGGAGTTTAAATTCTTTTTGAAACAAAAAGCACCTGTTTTTCAATATTCTTAAGTCTATTGTAGCTGTCATTTTTCTCTGATGCCTCTAAAAAGAGAAAAAAAAATCCTGTCCATTCTTTATACATCACTTCTGTTTTTTATTTTTTATTTTATTTATGCCCAAAGTGGTCCCAATATAAACAAAAAATAACATACAGATGCACAAGGCATGCAGCTGCATATATACCACCAAAACATTCAAATAAACAAATCCTAACAACACAACCATTCACACAAAGCTCTCAGCTAAGCATCAGTGTAATAACATAACAGTTATTACAAACAAAAGTCAAAAGAGTCAAAAAAAAATATATATATACTTTGTAAATGATGAATAAGAGCATGTTAAACACATAAACAGCATTTATGGAGCAGAAAGAGGATTAGAGATGTTCAGCTCAAAGGGTGCTTTATATTTAAAAGATCATTTTCCAATTTCCTTGTTGATTTGTGGAACAACAAAGAATTATTATGTATAGAGTATATGTAGAGGAATAACTGAGTCATTTTGTTATAGTCGGAATAAATAAGATTAATATGCTTAAATATGAATAATAACTTCTGAATAGATATCGGAGAATAAAAACTAAATGGTTGGAGATTAGTAAATGTAGTGTTTTGATAAATAATATCACTGTTATCTAAAATAGGGAGTAATAACAGAGTAATCTTTTTTTTCTGACTTATAAAGTAGTTTCAAACAATATCTAATTTATTTTGTAACAGAATGAATATTAGAGGTAAAAGAAGTAAAGAGTCAATCCAATTAAACTGCTCTACTTAGTAAATGTCGAAATAGATTTTATTTTTTTTGCTGTGAAGGCTTCAGAGGTTTGTAAAAAAAAAACAAAAAAAAACATAAAAGCTTTGGACATCTCACCAGTACAAAAAAATATTCCAAAACATTGCTTTCTACCTAAAATAGTTAAACAAGCACAGGATAACTAGGATTCATGCACTCCTCTAATCTGGTTTATAGGAAACTTTAACGTTGCCCCGAGTTATGCAGGACAGACATCCAACACTTTAAAACATGGTGTTTTGGTCAGGAGAGACCAAGAACCCCCATGCAGTGGAGAGCCAGCATACTATCTTTACTATAAAACATGATTCTAGCAGCACCATAAGGTAGAGACGCTTTCCTTCTGCAGGAATAAAGCTGCTCAGAGGCCATGGGGGAATAGCCGGGACTAAATAGAGACTTCATAAGGCTAATAAATGTAAAAGTTGTGTTGGTTTAGATCAATGCTCTTGCCTTTCTAAGAATTGTCCACAAGTCTAAACATTAATATCTGGTAAGCCCTGTAAATCTCTATAATGTGCAAAGCTTATAGAGATGTTCCCCAAAAATTATAGTTAAAGGTTTTTAACGTGCAGTCTTAGAAGGATAGGATATGGATTTTAGATTTTTTCTTCATATCTTTGAATTAAAGTTATACTTTAAGATAGTGGATTTCCTATTAGAGATGTTTAGTCATTAAACCATTGTACCATTTCACACATCACATTTTTTGTGACTCTTCTTTGTTTCGATTCTTTTACACATTGCCACCAGAGTGTGCCAGAGATTTCTAATCTTTCTGCAGTTTAACAGCAAGCGTCTTTTTTATCCCTTGTCCAAGGCTGTGTTAAGAATAACCGAACGAGACGGTATCAGCACAGAGGACGCCCTGCACCGGCTGCAGAGCCAGTGGTCAAGCAGCAAACAAGTCAAACATGCCAACGTAGTGCTGAGCACTCTATGGGAGCCAGAGGTCACCAGGAAACAGGTTGGACAATCATAATCTAAGCATACGCATTACATATAGTCACATTGTAAAACCTTTGCAGACCTTTTTTATTAAACTGTTTTGTTTTATAGGTGCTCAAAGCATGGAATCTTCTTCAGAGGAGAATCCAGCAGAAGAAAGAGGGACGATAGAAATCCTGTCTGGATTATATCCGCTTTGAATTGTGAAGAGGAAAGAAGAGTTTGTGATAAATCAACCGGAGGAAGAATGCCTTAAAGCAGCAGGACAATCAGCGTGCGGCCGCAGCAAACCACGCTTCCTCGCTTCTTTCAAAGAACTCAGTGCCTGTTCCTCTTTTCAGGAGGTTTTCAAGAATGTAGTTCTATGTCCAGTATGCTTAAATTTGGATCTAAAAAGGTGAACTTGTACACAAAAAATAGATTTTAATTTAATTTGAATTGTAACCATTGAGTTTTAGGTAATTTTTCATTTAAGGATTTTGTTTTTTTAAGATTTCTTTAAAATGATTGAATAATGGGACGAATTTTTACATCGTTTAATTTCTTGCCTGAATAAATACTGTAAATTACTTGTGTTTTACTATGGTCAGTAAAATGTGGACACTGATTTTTAAAGAGTCTTATTTGACAAATTAGTATTAGTTGTTCAACCTAATTGTGTATTTAGTCTTTTTCTTTTTTTCCTTCCCCCAGAGACCATCACACAGATCCAGTCAGTTAATCTGTATTTCAGTGTCCAGCTTTCAAATATTTTTGATCAAAATGATAAATTGTACATGTTTAAAATGACCTTGAACAATAAATTGAGGTTTACAGTTTAAAAGCTGATTTGGACTCTTAATTTTCACCTTACTGCTTCATGAAGCAACATAATACATTTTCAATAAGGTCAATTTGTTTCTTCATTCCTTTAGGTTTAGGAGTAAATGATGTAAAAATAATTACTTCAAATTTGACGTTTCACACATTCAGTCATCAAGTGGGTTGTGTTCATCAAAAGACTTTAATTTCAGTGCTTAAAAAATGAATGTAAACAATTTAATATACAATGTTTGTGGATAGCGTTGCATTCGTAAAACTGCTCTTGCATCATTTCCCATGTGCTTAAAAAAAGTGATTATTTTAAGGTTTAGTAATAAAAGCTTTGCATTTATAGCCATTAGCTTCCGCTTTGATGCAATACAGTTGTGACTTCTGCCGTTTGCATGCTCATAGATAACATAGGTGTCCATGTAGTGACAATCATAAAATAAATCTATTCTCTCAGTTCAATTTTCAGTTTCGCAGAGCACATTGCCTCTCCGAGCTTGTTTTGGGCTCTGCAAACATAAACCCCTGAGTCAGAGGGTTCCAGATCAGCTAAAAACAAAGAGCAGACGCCATCTTCATCTTGATTCATTCTCACTCTGCTGGAGTCACACAATAGCTCCTCGTTATGAAGCCACTTCACCTCTGGCTTTGGGTAACCTAAAGGGAAGGGGAAAAAAATGTAGACATTACATCTACCAAGTGGGCTGGAATGTCATAATTCTGTAGTTTTTTTTTTTTTTCATAATTCTGGAATTTGGAGGAATTTTGCAAATTTTTGAGAAGACCCACCCTCTCTACTTTAAAAAATATATATACATGCACAACACTACCAACTCCTGAGAGGGAACACCTGTTCAACGCATTAGAGAGCATGTACGAGCCCATTTATCCTCGTGCACGCTCTGTTTAAAAGTTACTGTTTGCATCGCCAATACAAGCTCGCTTTCCAAAAGAACATTTTTATTTTTTTCCACTATGTCAGACTCACCGCTGGTAAGAGAAAACGGGAACGAGCATGTAGGACAGCCTTACCCAAATACTTCACCAGAATGATTGACAATTAGGAGGACCACTTATTTTAATGATCTACCCAGAAAAAGGACATCCTCAGCTATACCTTTAAATATAAAGTTATACACTTTCATGACAGTTTCTCATTTTGTTTTAAAGCTGAGTCCTTGAAAATCATCTCCAAGTCAGCTCATGTAATTATCAAATAAATGCATTTTACAACTTTCGTCCCAGACTCTTCAGGCTTCAGTTAGCATGTTTAACATTAACCATGTTAAAAGTAATTTACCATGTAATGTAGTAATTTATCAATTAATCTGCATCAGTTAATCATTTCAGTCACAGATATTGCTGCCTTTGCTCTAAAAGTATTTTTGCATCTATAAAAAACTTCAGCAATGATTAAAAAATGCTTTCTAACTTCCATCAAGCAGTGCAAAAGACAACCTGTGCATAATTTAAATGGTATTAAATGATATTCCAGGTAAGTTTTCAGTATAACCAACCAGGTGGATTTTTTAGAGAAAATATTTTGAGCTGTTTTAGGATAGCAGAACCATTCATTTGCCTTGGCCCTGCTTATTGCAGCCCTTAGCCTAGCTTTCTAGTGAGATTAATCCTCAGTTTTTCGTTTAAGAGGTTGTTTGGAGGAAAAATCTAATTTCTGAACATGTTTAAAATGTTTCTTACAGAAGGCCTGGAGAGACTTTCAGTGACATTTTCAGCTTTTGATATTTAGTATTAAGATTGTTTGTAGAATCAAGTATGTCTGTCATAGTTTTTGCTTTTGCTCTTTGAGAACTGTATTTGGATCTATAAAGAGCATCACTGCTCTATCAGTACCATCAACCAGACATGTCAGCTGAGCAGTCTCTCCCTTTGGAAGGGTGATGTCCTTCAGGACCTGCTGGAAGTGCGGCTCAGTCTGCAGCTGCTTGTCCAGTGACTGGATGGCCTCCTCTGCCTCACGGCTCCATGCTGGCTCTGAAGCAGGGAATGGACGAAATAAAAAGAGAAACAAGGCCACAGTGATCACAAGTCTGTAAACTTGAAGTGACAGCCCCCAACTGTGAGTCATTTGGCATCTGTGAAGAGATCGAGGATGAAGGAAGGAATCGTCTGTTACCCTCTGAGGAGCTGCCAGGAGAATCCGGCCTGCTGGAGAGGTTAGCCATCCGGTTCAGGGCCAAAACAGCTTGGCCAGTTTTCTGCAGGGTGAAAGGAGAAATGGCGATGCATGACCAACACTGCCAGCAGCCTGGCTTTGGGTTTGTATTTGAAAGACTTGAAATGAAAAGTCAGAGGAGACATCTTTAGGAAATGCAACTTCGGTCCAATTCTGGGTCTACCTTCCACTTGCGTCTTGCTAGAAAGCGCTTCATCTTCTCTTTATTAAGAGTCTTAGTGGGTCTGCGGTTCAGAGGGGTGAAGGAAGCCATCCATGAGTGGGAGAGGGCCTCTTTGCACGACAACCTGGATCTTTAATAAAAAGTGAAAAATAAATGTTGATAGAGATGTACCTGCTATGTTGAAGTCTGTTCTTCAATCATGAAAAAAGTAATTCTTTAAATGTGCAGAACAGAAGTGGGAAATAGAAAAGTAAGATCCAACCTGCGGTCTTTCTTCAGCAGGGAGCTGATGAAGTCCTTTGCCTCATCAGAGATATCTTCAAAACTTTCTGGGTCAAACTCAAAGCTGGCTGCTGTCACCAGAGCGAACGTTTCAGCATCATTGTTTCCCTGGAATGGGGATTCTCCACTAAGCCTGGATCACACAGAGTGGAAAACAGCATAAGACAAGATCGCCTTGCAGGTACTTTTTCCTATGACCCGAAATTCTACATCAAATGTAGATTACACAACATAATGTCACTTCTCAGAAGGGTCTGGTCCTATTAAGACAGAACCAGCAGATGGTGCCATATCTGCATCTGTTTAGACACTTTGACTCTAGCATGATGGGTTCTTTTGTGTTTTTTCCTCATCTTTTCCAGAAAACAGTGACTCACAGCTCAACAAGCATCATTGCAACTCCACTTACAAGATGAAGCAGATGACTCCAATGCTCCACATGTCTGTCTCAAATCCGACAGGCTCATAGTTGATCACCTCAGGAGCAACAAACTCTGGGGTACCGTGCATCACCATCAGAGGTTTACCCTCCTCTACAGAAGGAGAGAAATTAACACAGATTAACATTTTTCAAACAGTCCTTCCTAATGTTAGAATAACATGCAGCATCTTCCACTGTAGTGATTCTCATTAAACTCCACAGCTTAGGTTAAAGTAGTTTTTTGACTGAATAACTGTTAGTTGTGTACTTCCCACATCTTGGCCATATGGGAAGTCATTTCTGAAAGCAAGACAAGTCATCCTGTTTGCATTTTGCCCAAAGCCACATAGTGAAAACAGCAAACATCTGGAAGCTGCTCTTGTCAGATAAGAGCAAAACAAATCCTTTGCTCTAAAAGACAAAATGCAGTGTGGTAGAGTTTAAGTAACATATATTTTAATGCAAGTTAAAATAAGTTGACAAAAGACATACAATAAAAAAAAAAAAAAAAAACAGTTAAAAAACCAACACTGCAACACCATTCCTACGGTGACAAAGGAATTTGCAACCTCATAGTGTGGGGGGGCTTTTTTTCTTAGCAGGGACAGACAGGCTGAGCTGAAGGGAAAATAGATGGGGCTAAATACAAGTTAACCCTGACATTTTCCAGTCAGAATCCAGTCCTAAATCCAATGAGTATCAGTGCAAATACTAACTAGAAAATATTTTCAGTCTTAATTTTATATTTAGTTATTTTTACAAGAGAAGAATCTGCAGAAATGTCTCCAGGGCTATAACCCAAAATACATGGAAATGTTATTGCAGCAAAAAGTGCAAAGAATAGAGCACTTTGGATATTTTCTCAGAAATCCTTGCACTGATCTTTTCTTGTGACAATGATGCACTAATTTCTGCTGGTTGAATAAAACACATTAAAAATTGTAACACAAGAAAAGGTGAAAAAGTTTGTTCACTTTTATGTTAACATAGTTTTATCATTTCAACATCCACAAAAGCAAGGATGCCGAATTACTTTCAAATTTCAGATAAAAATCTCAGATTTTCAAACCAGAATCTGGGGCAACGGATGTTAAAGAACCGGTATTTGCCTCAAGTATTTCCCCAAGTTTATCATCTTGAAATGGTTTTACTTTCTTATTCATTAACAAGAGTTGTTACAACATGATTGCTATTGGAGACATCCAGGAATTTGACGCGCCCTGATGTTATCTTTGGCATGCACACAATGCCATTACCTCCCAAGGTTGCCAAGAAAATAGCATACGAAAACTGGACATCAGTGTTAATGTAACATCCAGTTTAATTAAAAAGTAATGTAAAAAAAATGCATAATTTTATTTATTCCTGACTGATAAGCTGTTTTGAATTTATTTGCAAGGATAAAGCTACTTAACACTTAAGGGAGGAAAGTTTTTATTGTCTGTTTAATGAACAAAATTTCTGCCATTGTCTGTATAATATGTCTAGGAAGATAGACTGGAGATTTAGCTGATAAAAAATCATCCCTCCAAATAGATGAACATTACTATAAATCTAGCACATTTACCTAGTTCACTGGCCAGGCCAAAGTCGATTATCTTGATCTTGGTGCCAGACGTGTCCACACAGACAATGTTTTCCGGTTTGAGGTCCAGATGGACAATTTTCTGCTTGTGCACATACTGCATCCCCTCCAGGATCTGCTGCACGTATCGGGCGCTGGTGGGTTCTGTATGCTCAAAGTTTTCATCCACGATGCGTTCAAAGAGCTCCCCTCCTGCAACACTGGGTGCACAGACAAAAACAACTCAAACTCCTGGTCATGTTTTTGAGAGTAAAACTGAAACCAAGCCCAGATTAAAACTTACTACTCCATGACCATTGCCAACTCGCGACGCGTTTCATACGCGGCCAGACACTGGACTATCTTTGGGTGGTGAAGCTTGTTCATTAGATTAATCTCTCTGCGAGCTTCTGACTTGTCCTTTGAGGTCCGGGCACGATAGAACTTAACTGCAAACTCTTTGCCAGTCTCATTCTTAGTCACCCGATACACCTCTCCAAATTTTCCACTAGGAGAGCAATTTCAAGAAGCATTAAGAGTGACCCTGGTTAGGCTGTTACAAAAGAAGTTTGGTAAAAAGAGAAAATCCATGCTTACACCCCCAGCTTTTCATGCACGTTATAGTGGTCCCTGACCTTGTGTTTGGTGTCAATAGTCACCATCACATATGAGTCGGGCTCATCCTTTTTTTCCTCTATAAGAAAAAAAAAATACAATAACACAATCAGTTTTCAAACTGATATTTCTTCTTCCAACATCAGCAGCACGTCACTCACTTGTGGCTGCCATACTGATGCACTGAGACTCCTGGCTTGGTTCGCTGCTACCTGCAAAGTTCCAGGCTCTAACCCTAAACCTGTACTGTCCGAGAGGCTCCAACCCTGAGCGAATGTGGAACGACGTGTTCTTACACCTGCTTATCTCAGTCCAGCTCCCAGGCTTTTCGGGTCCCGCTTGAAGGGCCTCTACAATGTAACCCAATACAGCTGTGCCTCCGTCGTAGCTGGGGCCCGTCCAGGAAAGGACAAGGGACTGTGTCGAAATCCTGGAAGCAACAGGCTGTGATGATGGGGGAGAGGGTCGGTCTGAAAAGGAAAGAAGTTAACTCTTGTCAAGATGTTTTAATTCATTTGGAGAATTTCCCTAAACGTTCTAAGAAATTTACAAATAGAAATAGAAATTTAACATCACAAATGCAACATCACATCGTCATCAATACAGGTGTAAGGATGCGTGAGATATATTAGAGCGCAAGTGAACATTCCCTCCTCAAAGATGAATTGTTAAAGGAAGAAAAACAGTAGAGCAAGAATTTAATTGAGTCTGAAAGAGGCCAAATTGTAAAAGCTGGTTGACAGGGTCAGCATGTCTCCAAACCCTGAGTTGTTGTGGCATTTCTAGAAGTCTGAAGTGGCTGGTATCATTCAAATACGGACACTTTCTGTCTCCTTGAACCCCAGTCGCCCTCTGCAGATGGCCGCTCACACCAAGTCTGGTTCTGCTGGAGGTTTCTTCCTGTTAAAAGGGAGTTTTTTTTCTCTCCACTGTTGCTAATAGCATGCTTAGTGTGAGGAATAGCATTTGAGTCAATGATTCGATGCAATCAACTGGTTTTTTTCTTAGATAGAAAACTTTGACTCAATTTGACTGTATGATCTGGTGAACTGTAAAGTGCCTTGAGATGACGTGCTGTGAATTGGTGCTATATAAATAAAATGAATTGAATAGATGAATGACCAGTAGGGAACCAGTGTCACACAGGCTTATAGACAGTCTGGCCCATTCAGCCCTATCCTACACAGAAGCTACTTAAACTTTGACTACTATAAAAGCAAATGTTCAGTATGATAAAAACCTTAGTATAGCTGGAGCCCATTAAAACTACCTTTATACAAACTGTATTTTCTGATGGCTGACATCTTTTAGTATCCTGACAGAAACAAACATGCTCAGAATTGATTTGTGGAGCACTTTAAGTTATTGATTTGACCTCCAAATTCACCAGATATCCTCAGAATTGGATCCATGGAGAACTTGAAAGATTTGCTGTAAAAATCAAAGGGCCAGATAACAGTTTATCTTTAGTGTTCTGCTGGATCAGACCAGTTCTGGGAGAATAAGCAGGGACCACCCCTATTTTATGTTTTTTATTTTATTTTTAAAGGATTTTCTCCATCTCTGCAGCAAAACTTTAAACACAGTTCTCATGTGTGAGTATGTATTCATAAAATGTAAATCAATTGTCCCACCTATGATGCTGAGTGACACTGTATGCTGAGCAGAGCCGTGTCTGTTCCGTACAATCACAGTGTAGGATCCTGTGTCTTCTGGGGCAGCCTCTGAGATCTCTACAGCGCTTTGGGTCCCCTGGCTCCTCACTGTCACCCGAGAATTCCCTGACACCACCTAGAGAAGAAAAGGGCAGCTGTAGGAACTAAAGGTACAGATGTAGGCTAACCACTATTATCTTAGACTGCAATAGTTTTACTTTGGCTTTGTTGTAAATCCAGCAACAGGCCACAGGAAGAGAGCTGCTCCTGAACTCACAATGTAGCCGAGCTGGCTGACCCACACAAACGTCCACTTTCTCTGGTGGGTCTATAAAAGCCACTGGAGGTCCTTGAGGAAAGGTTAAATCAGCTTGTTTTTAAAAAACAAAAATACACTAAAATGCACATAATTTGGAAATAAATGTGCTGCTTATTGTAAAAAGAAAAAATCCACACATACCTTTGCTTGTAGGAGCTTTTGTTTGAAATCTGTTGTTCCTGATAACTGTAGAGAAAGAAGAAGTAGGTGGGCTTACAGGTAGGTCTCATGATAGGGAACTTTAAACAGTAACCAACCAATAAGGAGGCGGCAGCCATGATTGGTTGTAGAGGCAAACAATGCATAAAGGTGTCAGCAAGGGTTTGGGGAATTTTAACTCCTTCTTGTGAGTACAGCTTATTTCAATTAATCATATGAAGGTTTATTTCTTTTTTTTATAATACAACAAAAACAACTTAGGTTTAATAGGTAAACAGAAGTAATATTCTACCTTTATTCTTTTCTTCTCTTTGTTGTTTTTTCCCTTTGGTATTTTCATGAGACTCTGATTTCAATGACACATCACTGCACAGTTCATGGTGTCGTGATGTGGGAATTTCTCTTGTTGCTGCTCCTTTGTGAACCACAGTGACATGCATTTTGTGTAAACAATTCCCTTCAATAGAAATGCACTGATTTATACTGGTTCTACTGGTTCTTGGATTTCTTTACCTTGACCTGTAATTTGTAACAAAGCGCTGCTGGATATCCTTCCGGCACTGTTTTCAGCCATGCAGGTGTACTCTCCAGCATGTCTGGTTGAACACTGAGTCAGGGTTAAACTGGCAACACTATTCTTGAAGGAAGTCTTACATTCAGTTAATTTAGCACCTAGAAAAAAGGAAACAGAGGTTGTAATTTAGCCAGAGGTCTAGAAAGTAAAGAGCCTGCAGAGAGATCAGCTCCAACTGTTTGCATTTAAAGCTTCACAACAAAGAGTTGATCAATTTCCTCAAATCTGTAAGGACACTTAGGCTACATTCACACTGCAGGCCTTATTGCATAATTCCGATTTTTTTTGTGTGAAATCTGTTTCTTTTGCGTTGGCATTCACATTTCCAGATATATGGGACTTGTATGTGATCTCCTGTGTGAACTGCATTCATACAGCTTAACTTTCCTGCATGCGCAATAGAGGAAGCAATGACGTTAAGTAGCCAGCGTGCTCTGTGTTTACGGAAGTAAACATGGATGGTAGTGCTGGGGTGCATCTTTCCCAACCTTAAAAACTCAATCTTTTCAAGATTGTTTTTCCTCCCGCTTCTGCATAACAAGATGTAGAGTTGGACCTTTGTTGAATGTTAATGACATACAGGTTGCATTAATGCGACCTGGACTTTCAGACACAGGTCAAATTTTGCAAGAATCAGATTCAGGACCATATAGACAAGTGGCCTGGGTGTCATTTAAAAAAATCGGATTTGTGTTGTTCAGACTGTCATGAAATGATCAGATACAGATCGCATATGGGTAAAAAAAATTGGATATGGGTCACTTCAGGCTGCAGTGTCAACGTAGCCTAAAGCCGCTGCAGAAGTGTTTTCATAGTGGCCAATACCTAATCCTAGTTATGAAGGAGCCAGGATCAGGAAGCAATATACTGTAGTTCCTAGCACCCATGCAGTTAGCATAGTGACCTTCTAAAGGCCCTTGTACTACATTAGGAGCTATACAGTTACCCAGAAACCTTTCTGTGACAAGACGTATAGATGCAGCCCACTCTCAGTCTGTGTCCGAATATCCATCCTAATCACTGTAAAGGGCACTATATAGTGGTTACGCAATTTTAAATGAGTTTCAGCAAGTCTAGTGGATGAAAAAATAGTAGACTCGAAATTTCCCACAGTGCATCTTCAAAAGCAGTGATCATCCATGGTCACTAGATGAGCAGAGATATCCCAGAATCCTTTGCGGGGAGAGCTCTCATCGCAAAGCATTATGGGATTTGCTGTTACAGCGGCGACTAATAACAAAGATGGCACAGGTACTCTGTGGGGAGGTGGAGTCACGTGATCAACGGGGAGAAAAAAGTAGTGATCATCTGTCCGAACGGTCAGTTAACAGAGTTCACTATAAAGTCCACTATATAGTCTCTATGAAGTGATTGAGAGATCTAGGGGTTAGGGTGGACGTTCAGACACACACAGACTTTAACAAAAAAACATTTTTGAATTTATTTGTACTCTGTTGGACACATGATAATCTATAAACCTTCATAGTTTTGGATTTTATAACAGAGAGCTTCAGCCATTAGCTACATTTGTGAGACTATCATTTTTTGTGTTTTTTATGGAAGGCTGTAGTCTCAATTTGACCTTAATCAGTCATCTGTGTGCCGCGTAATGATGTCCTTAAGGCTGAAAGCTGTCTAGACTCAGCGCATCAGTCTGAAAGGTGAAAGGGCAGGAGCAACGACCTGGAGATAAGAGCTACAATTTGAAGAATTCAGATTGAGACACTGACTGGGCGCTGATCATTTGGTTAAGTGAACAGCATGAAGGAAATTTAGAATAAGTTTTTACTTTCTGCATCTGAATAATCCACATCTGGACTCATCTAGATTTTCTCCAACGTGTTCTGATTGCCCCTCCCTCCTTAAAAAACAACTTTGGAGTTTGCAGAAAAATCCTTAATTCTGATTTTACAGTTGAGAAAAATGCTATAGTAAGAAACTAGTTTAAAACAAGAGCAATCAGATATGCAGTTAAGCATTATTCTTACGAATCTGATAAGGTTTGAGCAAAAACTAAAGAAGGGTCCTTCAACTTTCGTTTTTGCTCCATCTCTGCAGATTTACCTAGGTAATCTTTTATACTCTTTTCTCCTCAGAATGCCCTAAAACATTTAATCAAGAGACTGAAAAATAAATTTTGAATGTACATATTGAATAAGTACAGGACAAACGTATTTCTAAAATAACTATACAGTGTGTTTTACTCAGTTTAAGTCAGGATCCAAATTAAATAGATTTCTGCCCAACAGTTAAATAATTCATAGTCCAAGTCGTATTTATATGCAGTCCTTAACTATCACAACATTTTTCACAGCCATACTTAAAATTCAAGAACCAATATTTAAATTTCATAAGAATCATTAAATATCTAAAGAAATTGGTTGACTAGAGTGTTCTGTCATGTCTGGATGGTGATCAGACTAAGTGAACAGGTCAGCGTCAGTCTTATTTGATCATGATCATAAATGTTAAAGTCCTGGTGTAGTTGAGCAAACTGCATATGTTCATGTTTGTAAAGGTGGGACAGAGATTGCAGTTCTTATGAAAACTTGGTTGTCCTGTTTTTCTGCAGTTCACTAAGATATATATATATATTTTTTTTTAGGGTTTTGGTACAATCTTGGCCATCTATCACATTGTGTTGAACATGACATGATTGGTCACACAAAAAAAGACATACACTCAATCATTACTTTGAAAAATCCAGCTGTTTCATTCATTTTTTTCTGTTCCCTGACTTATTTCAAGATCAACACCTGTCTTTGCCTTAATGAATAGTATGTTAACTCATCTTTCTCATTTTGAAGAGTGATTAGGATGGATTAACTCCTGTGTCTCTTCATATTTATTTCCCAAGGAAACAGGAAGTCAAGGATAAGTGATACAAAGCTCCAAGAGACATTGATCAATTTAAAATGGTTAATGATACATAAAAAAAATGTTTAGACACATTTTAAAGATGCTAATCAGTGTGAGACTGGTGGTTTTATTAGCTTTTTTTTCTCAAATATTATCTTTATTAGTTTTTTTTTCTCAAATAAATACACAAAGGTCTCTCTTGCAAAGGAGATTTTAGTTCTAAATAGAACTAACTTGGTTAATTATATCTATCTATATCTACATATATATATATATATATATATACATATATATATATATACACACACACAGAGTATACTCGGATCAAAGGTTTTTCATTTTTAGGTTAAACTTAGTGTTGAGGATGAAAATATGTATCTCTATTATGAGTTTTAACACCTTTACCAGGAGTGCCAATAATCCTCAATAATGCTGCATGTCATTATGAAAACCAAACATTGCATTACTCACCATTGTGCAGCCAGGAAATATTCAACGGCTGAGTTCCTGTGATAACGCCATCAAATATGACATCACCCCCGACACAGACTGAACCATCCCTGATTGGCTCCTTAAACTTGGGGGCTTCAACAATTTTATTGTCTCCCTGATCGACACCTTTAAAGAAAAGAAGAGAGTCATGTTTTTAGCATTGTTTCAACAAACTGGGATAAACTTATCTAGGCCCTAAATCATTAGTGTTTAAATTATCTACGTTTGGTGTTTAAAGTGATCATCCTTCTTATTCCATATAAGCGTCACAGAAATAATTGTTCAGATGCAGTCATATGTGGTATTATAGAGGTGAACTTGTTAGGGGGGCTGTTTTTAAAGGTGTTTACGAGATTTTCCCATATGAGTAGATTGGTGCTGGAATGTCCGACAGTGTGGATGGAGGAATGCTTTCAGTCTGTTAAAATATGTGTACGTTTCATGTAGTGGGGTGGTTGAGTGGGTGGGGGTTGCAGCTGGCCTCACTGCTTCTCTTCTTTTCCTGTAAATCTTAACAAAACTGCTTACAGTTTAAGCTTAAAACAGAGGCAGAAAGTGCAATGGTTTGGAGGGATGGAGAGTCATAAATTGCTTTTCACATACGGCACTCATAAAGACTTCTTAAAATGGGGAAGAATTGCCAAATGCAAATACAGTTTCAACATTATTATATTAACATTTTGGATTATATCAAGAATTTCTGTCCTCGATGTAATTTAACACCATGTTGCATTGCATCTTCTTTTAGGAAGGTTCTCTGCATGTTTAGGAACAGAGATGACTAAATATTTACTCTGGAGTAAAAGGTCTGGAGTAATAGGCATCCTGTTAGTCCTGCATTCTTTTGCTTGAGAGAGCCATGGTGTTATAGTACACGCAAACTGTCATTTTATGTTGTTGAAATAAGCAGAGCATCATTTTAGTGTCTTTCCAACAAATGTGTCACGGACTGTAAGTTAATAATCATTTGAATGATCCTTATTCTTTCATGAATGGAATTGAACACGAAAACTTGAGCAGATTTTACAGATCTGGTTTAAAGTAAGCCCCTGTCACACTATGAAGATTTAGCCAGCGTATGCCTGATGTACAAAAAATCTGACATAAACGTGGGCATAAGTTGGATAAGTTATGGGTCAGTTTTGTTTAAGTCTTGAGCACGCTGAAACACGTTGAAATATGGCAATTACATAATAAATGGCTATCATCATAGCAAAAGTACCTGCTGTTCTCTCTGAAACTTCATTTCAAACATGTAAGTCGTTTCACCTTCAGCTGTAATTTTATTTACATTTTTTGTGTATTGTATTTCATTTAAAGTCAAATATTTTGAAGTTTATGGTATGATTTTTTTCCCTTTAGGATAAAATCAATTATCTTAAAGTAAACGGATACAAAACCAATCTAATTTCATTGATTTGCAAGTCACAAGTCTTTGTTCATATTCTAATGTCTTTTTTCAAGTCAACTCGAAATATTCAAAATTAATTAGTAGAGTGTAACTCATGTCCTTTGGACATGTCTGTATATTTTTTTCCAATCAGATAGATGGATAGATAAATAGATGGATGGA